AATTAAATGGTCAAGTAATTGCTATTGTATGTGACAACAGGATCCATCAATCTTTTTTTGAAACAATTTGACACTATTTTTGGATGACTAAAAATGGCTTGTACTTTTGATTATATCCACTTTTTTTTAAAATATTCAGAATAAATGGATTACTGAACTTATTTCTGAATTACTGTTTTATTCTGAAGGCAAAAAAATGACAGCGAAACAGGAAATTGTAAAATATCCTTTTGAGTATGAAAAAACTCAATTTGTTAAGCTGTCGAAACTAACTAATATAGCAGTTTACCAAAAACTTGTTGAGCGACAAAATGTTTCCCATTGTTTAAAAGTTTTTTGCGATCAAACTGTAGCTGCCATTAAAATACACCCATTATTAGATGGGGAACATACTGCAGAAACAGTTAATTTCATTGAAAAAGTCTTAAAAGTTTAAAAAATTATCTGTGACACTTTAAAAATGATCCGCTGAAAAAAGTAATATTAGATTTAGATGATGAACATCTGTTATTTCTTTCTAATTTTGGGCGAATGACAAAAAGAATGAAAGCATTAACAAGCGATATTAGTTTAGTCTTTGAGCATACATGCAATAGTTTAATAGATGTTTTCAGATATTTGCTAAGCAGTGGGTTTAATTTTGTTATGCATGGTGAATTTACCATATGGAAAATTAATACAAAGTTCTGGAGGTGCATATTTTATAACAATTCAAAATGTTATTGAAAAATGTAAATATTGAAAAAAAAACTAAAACAACTACTTAAATTAAATGTTGAAGTCAAAGATTACAACTTTGATCCAGGCCATAATTGCTCAAAATGTGGACATTTGCTGGATGAAATGGGATACCAAACATTTAATAATTTACCAGACATTAAAACTAGGATCTGTAAAGATATTAAAATGTCACTTTTGTATATAGCAGGCTATGTTACAAGAAAAGATTGTTCCACAGAAGAAGAATTATTTAATAATATTAGTTTTTATTTTCAAGAATATGAACATTTTTGAAAGAAATAGATTGTAGTAATTTAAAAATTCCACTGGATACCTCAGGGATATCACATATTTTTTATTTTCAATTTTCCCTCTTTTTACATATATGTAATTGGTTAACACCCCAAATTATCCTGTTAATTAATTTTGTGCTCTTGTTAATGTAAATTGATTTTAATTCTTAAAACTATGTGTGCTGGTAATATCTATTATTGTATCGTAGCAAAATAAATATTTTCTTCATTTTCTGTGAAACAAATTGTACATGTAACAAAAATCCCAAATTTTGTAAAGATTATCAAAATTATTTTGTCTGAAATTCGAATCTTTTTTTAAAGTATTTTCAGACTTTGTTGACACACAATTTGTAAGATGCCGAAATTGCTTTCGGATTATATTATACTACTAGCAGTAGAGCCCGGCGTTGCCCGGGGATATAACAGTAAGAGATAGATCAAGTATCGACCATCATAAAGACTGAAAAATAATATTGACAAAGATTATTGTTTAAGGTTGACGGACACGCATGTCTTAATTAGTTTTTTTTTTTTTTTTTTTACGAATTTGTCAAACCCAAATTCAAACAAAAACATTGTTTACAATCGTTATGAGTCTATCGATTGGTGAATAGAATTTTATTATAAACAATTGTCTTGTAAATGGAATTTTTAAAGCATTCTGAATGTAAATAAAGAAAAAAGTGTGCAAGACAATAAGAAATACTGCCTGCCGAAAAAAAAAGTGGATGTTTGTTTTATCGGCTGAAAAATGTAAGAAATCCGATCCCATATATAAAGGAACACACACACACACACACACACATAAACAACCTGGGTTTTTTAACCTAAGTCACTCCACGGAATCGCTAAAACATAGAGCATAGTCTGATGAAAAAAGACGCCAAAGTTTATGAAAACAAAATTTTATCGTCAAAATGCTTATTTTTTATGAAGAGGATAGATTTTTTTTTTAATTAATTTTAAAAAATTTTCCATATTTTTAGAATATTCTAAATTTTGATTTAAAAACCTTGTTTCTTTTGTCGCAAACAAGGGGTAACATAGATAATTTTAGCGCATTTTTTTGTATTTACACACATTAATTTGGAAAATCTTGCAAAAATAAAAATAATTGTCAGATGTTAATGAAACTTTCAGAAACTATTCACAGATGATCAAATTATTATAAATATTTATTAAAGTCATGGCAGAAATATTTTTTTATATTTATTAACATCCCATAACTAATTTTATGAAAAACTCTAGAAATTGAGACCATCGGTTTTAGTGATTACAATAGTTAAAAGCACAAGGCTTTGAAGAATGCAAATCATGTTTTTTTGTTTTTTTTTTTGGCCAACGTACCTGAAAATCAGCTGTGAATTGTAACATACAAAACTCAATAAAACAAATATATTATTTAGTTTCAAATGCTTTTATTTGTTTTAATTTGTTTTTATGAATATGGACAATATTTTCTGAAAGCAAAAATTTTTTTCAATGAAAATTGAATTTTTAATACAATTATTTCTTATTTCTTTGATTTTAAAAAGATTTTTAAAAAATGTTTAAATTGAATTTTAAACAATATTTTAACATTAGTTAAAAGCAACATCAACCTTTCAAAATGTCCATGTGAGATTGTCATTGTCTAGCGCTTTGAAAATTGTATAATTTGGACCAATCAGATTAGCCATGGTAATTAAGAAATGTAATTTTGTGTTTATAGTCGGACAGTAATTATCAAGCACGGAAGACCAACCAGAATACAATTTAGTTGCATTATTTGAGTTCAGCATTGTTCTCCACTGTTAAGCCCTTTACTTTTAAAACACGTATGGAGAAGTTAATTTGAGTTTTCAATTTCAACTGAGAAGGGTACCTACAAGTAACAGTATCATCTTATTAAATTTAACTACTGCTAAACGTTAATTTATATGATCTTATTTTTATATTAATCTCAGTTATGACATTTTCCATAAATGAAATATCAAAATTAATAATAAAATGAATGGAAATACAAATAACACAGTAAATGTAATAAATGTACATAAAATTATAGTATTTTATGTACACTTCGATAAAATTTCATAAGAAAGGTACCTAAATTAATTAGATACTTTTTCTTATGAAATTTAATCTCACTATTAACAGTCTTATTTTTTAATTTCTTTATATTTTCCATAAAGCATCGTAAACGTAAAAATGAAAGCTAAGTACAAAAAAAAAAAAAAAATAAAAATAAATAAAAAATAAAAAATTAGAGCGCTGAAAGTTTTCCTTAAAAGTAACAAGGTAAATAATTTGTTCACTTAAATAATTTCACTTCCCTCCATCCATAGAAAGAATTCTCCTCCCGTAACTTATCTAAACGTCATGAATGTGCCTTTCGTCAATCGTCAAGCGACGCAAAAGGTTATGACCTGCTTTGTTTTATTTTCAAATTACATTTTTTCAGCACAGAAGCTAAGTTAAGCTTGGTTCAAAATATTTTAAATAAACAGTATAATATCAGTTTTGAAAAAATGATAATTGACTTTTAAAAGAATATCAAAGTAAGATTTTAATCTTTTTTATCAAATCGAAAAAAATGATTGAAAATAATTATCTGCCCTTTTTTTTGACCAAAAAAAAAAACAATATTTTTAACGAAAATTTCAGACATGCTAGGAACGATTAAAAAAAATGTAAAAAAATATCCCCAAAATACTTTGATCTTTCCTCTTTAATAATAATATAAACATTAGACGATAAAATTTTGTTTTCGTCAAGTTCGGTGTCTTTTTCATCATGCTATGCTCTTTTGTTTACATTTTCGTGGGTGAGTTCTCCCCCTTTCATTCTCACGATGTGTCTTAATCGTGTTTTCAAATTGATTTTATTAAAAACAACTGTATTTTTCCCATTTTCGCCCCGTTAGAACCACCACAAGGTAATTTTATGTAGTCCTGTGAAGTTTTGTTGAAATCGGCTAAAAAATGTAGGAAATTCGATCCAACATATAAACGTTACAGACACACACACAACCTGCATTTTATAATAAGTAAGATTATATATTCTGTAATAAACTAGCATAAACAAATTAACTCATTATTTTTGCAATATTATTTATGCTATTCTGTTCTTTCTTTGTACATTTGCATTCATGGAAATAAGTCAATAATTGTAAGATACTTCCTAATATCATATATAGTTGTCAATTAACTAATTACTGGACATTACTAAGAAGTTCCTTGCTAAAAAACGTTGTCAGGAATTATTATTTATTAGTAATTTAGGCTTCTACATGTCCAGCCCCAGTTGCATGGTTGCAAGGCCTGGTATATGGATTGTCTTGGCTGAAAGAAATGTTTTGACCTTTTACATTGTATATTCATATTTTCCTAAAATAATGACTGATTTATTTGCTATATCTTCTATATGCTGTATCTCTTCAGAATATAACCAATCGAAGGTCTCCACAACTTCCTTTCTCGTTAGTCATGACAATAAACATTTTTCTATGTAGGCATCTGAATTATAGGTTATTTCTTGTTAAAAGTGATGCAAAATGTTTCAAGTTGATGAAATTGATTTTACTCTATTGTTTGCTGAAATATTGTTATGCTAAAGATATGAATGCAACAAACATAGGATAGAATTGTAAAAAGTACATGTTAATAATGTAAATACTCTGTAACTGGACAAACAACATTAACATTTAGACATAATTAAGCAATATGTTCCAAAGAAATTTATTTTACTTTTTCTTCTTTATATTCTAAAATATTTTCCATACTACTCTATTTCTTGAGCTACAAGTTACAGAAAAAATAAGAATATAAGTTGGGCAAATGAAAAAATCATCACACTCTTACTTAGGGTTCTCTTTTTTCCAATTTTTTCCTTCATTGCACTGGGAAGCCTAGGTCCTGCCGCTTTTGATCTTGAAAAACTGTGTGTGTGATATTTGCAAATCAAAATGTGTTGCCATTAATACTTTTCTATTTTCCATGTTTTAAGGATGGTGTTGAAATTGAGTTGCCTGATAAAAATGGTAAAACCCCCTTGATGTTGGCCACGGGTCGCAAACATGAAGCTGTGATATCTTATTTGAAGCGAGAAACCAAACAAAGAAAAAGTCTATTTCCAAGGTTTGACTTTTGGTGAGTAGCTAATAAAAATGCTAATGATAAAAATATAGATCCAAAAACTGTTAATATCTTACTTAATGTACATCAAATTAATGGTTTCGCCTAAAGCTATGTGTTTTTATTGTTTTATATTTTTATTTATTAAGTTTATTTTGGAAATGAGGAATTTATTTTGATTTAAATTATTTTTTAAACTATGTTTTTGGTGTCTTCTTTATATATTATGTAATTAAACCCATTTATAAAATATCTTGACAGTATTGAAAATGTTTCTAAGGTCATTTAAAAACTCAATACATATATTTTACAAAAGCTGAAAATTCAAACAATATTTTTGAAATAGTGAAATTGAAATGTTCTCATTGGTATAGGAGTTGTTAGTTTTCTGTAATAAACATTGGTGCATAGCTTTGCTTAAATGCTGGCAATTTGCTAACTCTAGATGAACTTTACAAAATTCTGAAGAGAATTTTTAAAACCTTTTAACAGTTACACTACACTAATAACATCATGCTCATTCAAAAACTCAAAATGCAGAATGATTCCAAAGATGCAAGCTACCACACAGACTGAATTTCATCAAATTTCTTTCTTTATTTCTTGATAAAGTCAGTCAAAAGTTCAGAACTTTAACAAAAACCCATTTCCTTTACATCATCAGCACAAAGATAGGGAAACCAATTTGCCAACAAGATAAACTATTGGAAATATAACAGACATGATTTGTCTGTCATTTTTTAAGAAAACTTGTTTGAATTTGTGTATCAGCAGATTTTATCTTTCTAATTGAAATAACTCTTTAGTGCCATTATAACACTAGCAGTACTCTTTACTATTATCTGAATAGTTTGTTAGTTTTAGTTATGTTTGTGACTTAATGTATACTTTTGTATGTTTTATTTAGGCATATGAATGTTCTTTGCTTGCATTTTACATATATGCATTTTTATCAGTGCAAACATTTTTTGAGATCCTAACCATTCTATTTCAGTTTTTGCAGTGAAGGGTATATGAGTAACAGAAAGTGGTTGTTTTAAATTTCGTAATTTCTAAATATGTGACAATTAGATGCTTTGAACTAAAAACAATAACAAAAATCTCATTGTGATATAACATCTCATCTCAGAATAATATGAAATCATACAGAAACATTCTAGAAAGAACTTTGAAATACTTTTCACGTATAAAAAAAAATGAAACAAGTCAGAACATGTGTGTCTCAGTTCTTGGTTTGATATTTATTACTTCTCTATGATCTTTTTCTTTTTGTTCTGCTACAGCAATCAAGTTAGAAAGCCTTAGACCTATCTGAATTATTTTCATTTATTAAAAGCCGTAATGAATAATCACCATCTTTTTTTTCTTCCTTTTAACCTTTCATATATCAATTTTTTTTCCTATTTCAGTATTATTATATACATTCTATGAGTTGATGGATAGCTTTTTTAGGGGTAACCTTTCTTTAATATTTAAAACATAGGTCTATTTTCTACTATATGCATCCTATAGATGACAAAGTATTCTTATTGATGTGCATATTTAGCAAAAGGAACCTAAATACTAAACAAAAATACTTATGAATTTGTTTTTTTTAATAAAAAGAAGAAATATAGAAATATTACTCTCATCATAAACATTATTTGTATCTAAATATTAATGAGGTTAGTTAAATATTAAGCACTTAATAGCAACCATTAAAGGCTTAATGAGCTTATATCATAATTAACTTCAGTACTCTTGCTATGTCTTAGTCCTTTTGAAGTTTGTGTACAAATTATGATATTATATTATATACAATTTTTTTTCAAATAATTGTATCTGAATGTCAACCATCTATATTTTATTCTATATACTGAGTTGTGTTTTAATTACTGAACAAGGGATACCTCCCAGTGAAAATAATATTTCAAAAATAATTATTTAAAAATAATGTTTTAATAATAATTTTGAAATCAGTAATGATTATGTAAAAAAGAAAGATTGATACTCAATTTTGAAGTGAGTCACCTCATTCATATACATTCTCCTCTTTTCATATCCATAAACGTGATCTTGTTGGAAAGCATAATGATCAATTTTTTTGAAACAGTTAAGTTTTATTTTAAATTAGAACAGTTGGAGAGTATTACATGAAAAGTAGCTTGTCAATTCACCTACTCATATCTATTTCATAAAATTTGCCAGAAATCTTTTCAATATCAAAATAAAACAAATTTCTACAATTTACTACTATTTGATTTATATTTTTTAATTAAAGTTTATTTTTAAAGTGATTCAGTTTATCTAAAGCATATTGGTATGTTAAGACAGATAATTTATTGAAAACTTATTTATGGCATGTATTCTATTTGGCTTCCCAAAAGGGTTTACATTCCTGAACATGAATTGAAAATCTTTTAAATCATTAAGCTAGCATTTCTATTTTCTGTGAAACTGGTTAAGTAAAACAAACAAACAAAAAAAAAATACAGGGTTGCATGAATTTGTCATTTATCAAGGTTTAAAGACAGATATTTTTTATGATGAGTAAATTGTTTTCAATCAGGAAGAACATTCATTTCTTGAATTGTTTAAATTTTTGTTGGTCTATAAACATTGAGTTCTTAAATATAACCATGAAATGTTATGATGCAGTTTGGAATATTTATCAGTGATATATATTTGCTTGCTTGGAGCAAGACTTCTATGTGGATTAACATTTTTTTTTTTTTTTTTTTTTGATTGTTATGAAGATACCTCCTCAGCACAATGAAGTCTGAAAATATTTCAGATGTAAAAATCTTGTACATTTTATAATAGCATATGAGTTGAATTTTATTTTTTTATACTTTGACAGTTAATCTACTATTTTTCAAACAGTTCACTCATCTGCAGTGGTGTAGCTAGTGATTTTGCTGCTTGGGGTAACCTTCAAATTTGCCGCCCCTCCCCAGAAGGAAAACAATATTACAATGCACATTAACCCCTTAAAGTTTATATATACACCCATCAATTTTGAATATTTTTATCCATTTCTCAGAATCTAATGCCCATATGATGCCAGGATTTTTTTGTGTTTCTGTTAACGTGGTATTTAATTTATCAACTCCTCACTGATAAATTATGAAATAAAAGTTCAATAGTGTTTATTTATTTTCTCACAAAGTAAAACTGGGGATGTGTAAAAAAAACAATGACGTTACTTCTTTTTTTCTAAATCGGGAAAACTTTAAAAGCTTTTTAAAAGAAATTTGATTTTGTGTATATATCCTTTGTTTTATTTAAAAAAGAAACAAAAAAACATTGTACTTTTAATTCATAATTTATCAGTTTTTTTAATATTTATTTCAATTCTAACAAGTGAGGAGTCATAAATTAAAAATGCCATGTTAACAGAAATATGGTTCGTTTTTCTTTTAGCAATGTAAAAAAAAAAAAAATGCAGTGTTTTTTTTTTTTTTTTTAAGTTATTTTGTTTTACGTAGTTGAAGTTATTATTAGCAAAGTAGTAGACTAAAATATTAATTTCACTTTTAAAAACTGAAATAAATGTTATCATACTTTTAATAATTCTTAGTCTATTTTGCTTAATAAAACTTCAACTATCTAAACAAAAAAATAAAACATTGCATTGTTTTACTACTGTGAAAACTTGTAAATTAAAAACAATGCCGATTTTTGGACTTTAAATAAAAGTTTTTGCACTTAAAAATATATTAATTTCCAATTTTCTTTGAAATTTCTGTTTGATATTTCCAGAAAAAATTGGAATGCATGTGATATCCTTAAAGCATTGAAATTATTTCAATTTATTTATCTATTTTATAATTTATGAAAAGTAACGATTTTATATCCGTATTAAAGCTAGGCCTATGATAAGATAAAAAAAAACAATTCATTCACTTATTTATTTAATTTTATTTTAACTGACAGTTCACAGATATGAAAAATCAAAATCAAAGAACTGAGACCAAAGTCTAGACTTCTCACATAGGTGTGAAAAAACTGTGGATTCACTAAATTCATTTAATCGAACCCCACATCAAACCCTTTAAAAAATATTCAGATTTTTTCCCACCTTTTGCTCACATCTTGTAAGTGGGGTTTATCCCCACTGGCTGACAGCTCGTTGGAGCTTCATTTGAACCCTATCTTCTTCCTTATTGCTGCTTTTTTTGAAATTTTAAAAAAAAATTATGCTATTGTTTTTTTTTCTTTTCTGAAAACTCACCATGGACCAAAAGTGAAGCCACTGCTCATCTGGCAAATTCTAAACCAATTTTTATTTTAAAAAATCGTGTGTAATTTTTGTTCTACTTAGTCTAAAAGATTAACTTTTTCATATGTGTTTACCTTTCAATTATTAACTTATCTTTTCTGCTAAGCTTGATAAGGTCCATCTCATTATTTTCCTTCAATCTTTTATTGATAAGTTCCATACTTAATGTTGTCAATATTTATATCAATACTTATCTAGATTTTATTATACCAATTGCAATAAGTATTAAGTTAATAAGTTGTATGCAAGATATAGAAGATAATTGTAATGTTTGAACGTAAGTAAAACATTATGTAAAGTACTATACTTGATGGCATATAAGTTCCCACCATCTATTTATATTTAATATAAATTTTATATAGTATTATGGAGTTAGGCTAGGTACCAGTAGCCTGTAGCATATGAGCAAATGGTCTGCTAGATGTATTATCTTCAAATATCTATTATTTGGTTGATGGGAGTCTTTTATACCATCAAATAGGTAATAAACTTGATATATTTGACTTGATATATTCTGCATTTTTAATTATTGGTCATAAATAGCTCTCATAATTACTTTCACCCCCCAAACAGATTAGGTAATTTTAATCCTTTTTGCTGCATATGTAAGATTAGTTATTCTTTATGTCCAGTTAACCTGATAGTTTCATTTTTAATGGTAGCAGTTATAATTCTTTACTATTCACCATTTCATGGCTCTTTCCTGCTCTTTTTTTAATTATATTTGCAGGTCCATATTATTCGGTCCTCCTGGTAATAGTAAAACTCCATTGTTGTTCTTATTGGTCAGCTTGCTTTTTTGGGGCTACCCAATGTATGTGTTAAAGGTGAGTTGTGGTAGAAAAGAACCTTATTTTTTATCTTTCGATATGAATGTAGTTTTAAAGACTTAGTTGTGAATCTAAATGATCAGTAAAAACAATCAAAAGAAGATTAAGAAATTTAATAATGCAGGTAAGTATTGTGTGACATGTCTGCAGGCTGGTCATATCAACACTCAATGAACCAGCTGCAATTGCTAAAGTGCAGCACAGATGAACAGTTTTGCTAATATTTAGTCGGAGTAGCAGTTAGTCAGCTGTGAGATGGCTAGCTACCATGACCACTCATACCTTATCAGTCCAGCAATTTATATTGGTCTTTTTGTATAGCCTGGGCTTACATTGTACTGATGGCTTGTTCTCCCTTTCTCCCTCTGTCTATACTATGTTGCATGTTATGCAAAAAATAAATCTTGATATTCTCTTAATTTGGCATCAGTTTTTTTTAATCTTCTCTGGATGCCTTGGTATATATCAAAATTGTATTTAATTTTGCAGTAATTCCCATTGTTTAAAATTTTGGCCTTTTTTTTTTTTAACTGCCCACTTTAGTGCTTTTTATTTGAGTTTGTTTTTGACATATCTGACATTACCTAAGTGCAATCATTACTCTAAGGGGGTGCAAAGTGGAGATGTTTAATACCCTGTTCTCAGACACATATTTCACTAGTACATAAATTATCTATTGTGTAATCCTGAAGTGGTTGATGGGAGGCTTTTATTGTGCCACATTTGGGAAAACTAACTGATCAATTTTAAAGCTATGTTGATGTATTTTCTTGTTTACCTCATCAAATCAGACTAGGAATTTTAAAGACGTTCTAAGTTTTGATGGTTAATATTCTGATATAGTTTCACTTTTTCTTAGCTTTCATCATGGAAGAACTGTTACTTTGTATTTTAATTTCAAGTCAATATTTAGTTTGCAATGTACACAACCAAGACAAAAATATGTGCTGTTGATGGAGGATATATATTTTTTGTTGAAAATGTTTGTCTGTGATCTCTTCTACTACCATACCTAATTTTTCTACTTTATCTTTGAATATAGTTTTGCTATATTATTTGAATCTAGCTTTCAAAGTTTAGCTGATTTCTTCCTTTTCCACAGGATGTTGTATATTCAGTTTTCTATCCTCCTCATGTTTTTTCCATGTGATGAACCATTTTTAGATTGTCCTCCTATTCACTGTTTGAAAGATTATATGGGATATATATTTTTAAGGGTACTTTTTATGTTTCAATTTCTAGTTTAAATTATGATTATCTATGCTTGAAAAAGGCAATAAATAGACTATCCTTCTTTACTTGAGTAGGATGGTTTGAATCAGAATTCACACCTAATCCTGTGGGTTAAACATACATGTAATGCAACCACCCTCTCTACAGATTGAGGTTGAATAGAAATATATATAAAAAATGTAATATTTTGTTACAAAGTAAATTTATGTAGTAATCTTTTCACTTTTTCTATTTGCAATGTTTTCATTTCAGCTTTTGTAACAGAAACAGATTGCTAACTATCAGAGTGAGAGTAAACATAGACACTATATTAAGAAGTTGAGAATTGAACTAGAAATTGCTTTATTTTTCAAGTTATAACAGCATTATCCTATAAAAAATGTTGGTATGATGCAAACTAAAATCTAATCATAACAGATTTTGTAGTTGCATTGTACTCATTAAAATTTATTTGTGAAAATGAAAGTTCCTGCAATTTGCTGCAAAGCATCATGATACATTTTTTATTACATGATGTTAGAAAGCAAAATTATTAAAATACCACTTTGTTGATTTTGTGTCTTGTAATTATGAATACGTTAAATATACTGAAAACAAGAATCTTTTGACTGGTTTATGTCCTTGTGCTAGTTTTATTAATTTTGAAACGGAGTAATTTATTTTTGATTGGATTGGATAAAATGTATGTTTTACTTTTTTTTTGTCATTAGATGGCATTTTTAGTGTTTAGTTATAAACAAACTTCACTTTAGAAAATTGCCTTTGATAGCATGTTTACAAATGTCATATCAGTATTCATATTTTTTTTTTTTTTTTTGTAAATTTGTGGAATTAGGTGTATTTTTGTTTATTGATTCTAACATTGAATACAGAAGAAAATAAGTGCCATTTTCAGTATAAGATGCTTTTTATTTTAAGAAGAGTAGAAATGTAATTCAAACTTAAAGGATTTGTGTGGTTTATAGAAAAGTTATTGTGAATGATTGATTATGTCAAAAGTAGTTTGCAAGGTTTTTGTGATATAATTATATAAACCAGATTATACATTTGAATGGAAACACTACTTATAATCAATATTATGATCCAGGAGATACCCAGTATACTCCAAATATTCAAATGAAGTATTGGAACTCATTTGTACCTGTTTGTTGTTTTGATGTGCCACTTCCATGTAATTTAGGAAAAAAGTTTTTCTACACATCATTTGTTTTTGAAAACAATTTTTTTTTAATGAAAAGTGGATACTTTACAACACCTTCAAAGATGTTGATTCTGTATATACATTGTAGAGTAGGACAGGTGGCTGTAAAAACAACACCAGTAACCCATTCAGGAAATGGACTAACCCGGTCACATGCAAGATGTGGCACACATGTGAACAACGCAAATATAAACAAGGTTAGCAAGAAGCCTGAGGAAGTGAAAAAATTGCAATCATCACTCTTTTTTCAGAACTGCAAATACCACCAATTTTCAAATTGACAACTTTGAAACATGGAGACAAAACCAGCTATGGACCAACATTATTTGCAGCTTATGCAACAACTTGTCGAATTAAAAACGGAAAACATTGCACTATGAAAGGAAAGACTTTGTGGCCAGCCAAACATGTCAGAAAACCAGTACAATCTACTATAGGACTGGAAGCAACAGACGGTGATTGGGCAATGTTTATTGACACATGGACCTATTATAAAGAGATGCATGAACTAACAGACCCAGCAGTTATCTGAAATGAGCATGTACTCCAGGGGTGAACAGGCTGCAATTCAATCTAGTGTGGTCTGAGACACACAACTCTGCCACGGAAGTTACAGCAAATATGGCTCGTTGCTGTCAGGAGGTTGCACAAAGAAGTGCACAGGCAGAACTTTTCACTCTATGAGGCAGAAAGAGGAGGAGTAAATCACGCAATTTTCAGCTGTCACAAGCCCAGGCCAAATTTTGCGAGTTTATAGTTACTTGCCAAACAAACTGCGGTTGGCAAGTGAATTACACCAGTGACATGGTAGCAGGACAAATGGTAGCAGAGCTTGCTAATGTTGAGCACCAGAGCAAAATATTGGTGGAGATCACTACCCTTACTACTCTAGAGCAAAAATTTTACAGGTTAGTCAGACTAGAAACGATGTACAAGTTGACCCCTTGTCTCCACCATGTTATGTTATCCAGTATGCAAAGGTCAGATTGCAAGTGACAGTCCCAGAAAGTCAAGCTCTCCCCAACCCCACAATACACCAAGCCCTGTAGAGGGTGTGGAAGGACTTCACACATCAATGGATCAATGAATCAGAAGGGCTGCCTGGCGGCCAAGTTGGCATATTTTAATTGTGGATTAATTGGGCACAAAAACTGGTCTGCCAACATATTGAAAATGTGCACAACAAAACTGGTATCTCATGTTCTCACCACCAAAGGGCACATGGAGGATCCCAGCAGGATGACCCACCAATTTGGACAAAGTAAAAGGTGGAGTAAACTCAACCCAGCACAACCAAAGTCCGTGCCTCACCTCATTTGGAATGGAAGCAAGTTCTGAGGGGAGCCTCCAGATCCACCACTATCCTTGACAAAAGAAGTAACCATGATTCTGGAAGCACATGCTGAATTCGGGTACACCTCCATGGCAACACTGGAGCACAGACATGCTCCAGTGGACCAGAGATACAGAAAGTTCTTAGATGCCCAGTTGAATAGCTAGTTCTAACTAGACACTGAATCCAGAGCATCACAGAGGACCAGCTACACATAAAAGATGTAATATTTGCACATATCAGAGTTGGTTCTCGAGAAACATGCAAAACCCTATATGTGTTGGGGAACACATTCAGATTTTACCATGAGAGAGACCTACGATACCAGTCTCCATTTAATCACGCTTCTATGTTGCACACGAGGAAAACTGTCCTAGATGCATGACATGGGTACCATATCCTTCTCTTCTTCCCACCTGCATGTGATGCAACTATATACATCACTGAATGGTGCAGATATCAATGCCTTTGGGTCTCACAAGGATTCCACGCATCAGGAGATGCATATACTCGTCGATTTGACAATATATAACCATCAATATGGTCCAAAAACCGTATATGTGTTGGAGAACACATTCGGGTTTTACCTATCCAAATCAGCTCTGAAGTATCTAGGTCTACTACCTCCCAACTTTCCAATCCCAACATTACAGCAGAATGTGGCAAGCAGCGACAATGGAAAGGTTTCATGTGGATGCCCTCAAAAAATGGCTGTCCCACCTAAGCCCCATTATCCCTAGAGTGTGCAATAGACTCTGACTGGAGCTATGGATGTTGGAGCATTTTGGATTCAGCACATTCAACATAAGTCCATACCAACTGCTACAGACCATAAACCTTTAAAAAGGACAGCTCACCCAGGCGCATGGTAAACTTGCAGAAGCTCAACGTTGCTACCATGAGGGTGACCTACCATACCCAGTCTCCATTTAATCATGCCTCTATGTTGCCAGCACACACGAGGAAAACTGTCCAGGATGCATGGCATGGGTGCCATATCCTCCTCTCCCTAGCTTCATGTGATGCAACTAATGTTTATCACTGAATGGTTTAGATATTGATACCTTTGTACCCCACAAGTATTCCACGCGTCACCAGGTTATATTGTCGAATCGACAATATAACCATCAATATGGTCCAAAAACCCCAATTTATTGACAATAGCATACTCTTGGATGACTCCATAGAAGCATCATTTTGGCACACAATGGACTATATTGCCTACTGTGGCAACAACGGCATTGTCTTCAACCCAAAGAAATTTCACTTCACAGAAAATGAGGTGGATTTTGCTGT